GGAGACCTGGATGCACCAGACATCCCGACTCCGCGTTCTTACGCAGAGGCGATAGAGGGTCCCTACTCCTCTCAGTGGCAGGCAGCTATGGACGCAGAGATGGCTTCCTTGAAGTCCATAGGCACCTACGTCGACGAGGTTCCCCCACCTGGAGCGAACATCGTCAGTAGCATGTGGATCTTCAGGGTGAAGCGGCCGCCGGGTTCTCCGCTTGTCTTCAAGGCGCGTTACGTGACTCGAGGCTTTAGTCCGCGACAGGGAGTTGACTACTTTCAGACCTTCTCTCCCACCCCGAAGATGACCACTCTTCGGGTGCTGCTGCACATAGCCACTCAGCGCGACTACAAGCTTCACTCTCTTGACTTCACCACTGCTTTCCTACAGGGCAGCCTGCACAAGGAGATCTGGCTGCGCCGCCCACCTGGATTCACTGGATCGTTTCCTCCTGGTACCCAGTGGAGCCTCCGGCGGCCAGTCTACGGTTTCCGACAGGCGCCCCGTGAGTGGCACGACACACTGAGGACTACACTTGCGGCTCTTGGGTTTGCTCCTTCTACTGCCGACCCGTCGCTGTTTCTACGCACCAACACTTCTTTGCCGCCGTTCTACATCCTCCTGTACGTCGACGACTTGGTCTTTGCCACAGCTGACACTACTGGACTCGCCCACGTGAAGTCCGAGCTGCAGAAGAGACACACGTGCACTGACCTGGGTGAACTGCCCAGCTACCTTGGCTTGCATATCATTCGGAACCGAGCACAGCGCACCATTACCCTGAATCAATCACATATGATGCAGCAGGCTCTTCAGCGCTTCAGCTTCACGTACTCCTCGCCTCAGGCCACTCCTCTATCTACTCGCCACTCGCTCTTAGCTCTGCCTTCGAATGAGTCCGTAGAGTCAAGTGGCCCGTACCCAGAGCTTGTTGGCTGCCTCATGTACCTGATGACCTGCACTCGACCTGACCTTGCATACCCTCTTAGCATTCAGGCATGCTATGTTGCTCCAGGGAGACACAGACCTGAGCACATGGCTGCAGCGAAGAGGGTGTTGCGCTACTTGTGCAGTACGTCGGGCATGGGGCTCGTGCTTGGAGGGCGTAGTCCAGTGGTCCTCACTGGTAACGCAGACGCTACGTGGGTTGACGACCTGGCTACGCAGCGGTCGTCACAGGGTTACACCTTCACCCTTGGTTCCGGTTCTATTTCGTGGCGGTCTACCCGCTCGTCTTCTGAACTCAGCTTGAGCTGTGAGGCTCAGATCTACACAGGGGCCATGGTTGCACAGGAGCTACGCTGGCTCACCTACCTGCTGACTGACCTTGGAGAGCCGCCTCGTTCTCCTCTAGTTCTCTACATAGACAAAAAGGCCATGCTGGCCTTGTGTCGGGAGCACAGACTGGAGCACAGAGCGAAGCACATTGCTTTTTGCTACTTTCTTGCTCGTGAGCTGCAGCAGCGTGGTTAGCTGCGACTTGCTTACGTGGCCTCTCAAGCCAACACTGCTGATATCTTCACCAAGGCACTCGTGCCTTGTGATCATCAGCGCTTCTGTACTCTGTTAGGTCTTGTGCCTACTTTGCCTCACCTACTCAGTTCTTGACCTTGCTTGTATTGTGATCTATCTATATTTGCACTTGCTTGTTTACCTTTATATATGATCTTGCATGTGAACTGGCCTTGTGGCCTTGAACTTGTGCTCGGAATGTGTGGTGACATTGTGATCCACCCTGAGCTAGCTTTGCTTTGCTCTGCTTGACTGGTCTTGTGACCCCTTGTTCTCCCCCACTTTGCCTATTGGGGTGTGTCGGACTTATATGGTCTAGCCTGTGTAGGCTGGAGCGGGTTAGATACTAATGGGTACACAATTCTAGGGTTTCATATTTGTATCACACTCATTCCTTAGTCATCCATTCTCGTTCATTATCACAATGGTGAGTGGAATTTGGGTGGCGGAAGTTGGATCGGGACTTGCATCGATCCGTTGAGTGTCCGAAGACTTTGCATATTTTGCAATAGTGGCACCTTGGTTGTCGTCGCTCTTCTCGGTTGTCCGCGTAGAACGCGATGCGCTCTCAGCGCGGCGCGGAGCTTATTCTGCTGGAGTCCATGTCCTGTTATTCGGACAGGAGTGCGGCACATAGCGCGGCTTCGGAGATGATTCCTCGCTGTCGGAGTAGCGCTTTACAGGGCTTCCACTATGGCCTGAGTCCTTGAAGGACTAGATTAACGAAGATCTCTTTTGAGATCGTCCTCCCATGCTTCGTGATCTGGTCACGAATGTTGCGACAGCAGTTAACGTATGGATTCTCCTTCTCCCCGTGCCCCATTTTTATCTCTAGGAGTTGCTGCAGAAGCCTGCTGGCAGTGACCGAGTCCTTCGGCTGATAAACCTCAACGAGGTGCTTCCAAGCTTCCATGGCTGGAGCGTCGCTCTCTTTGTAGGAGCGAATGTTGAGTTGTTCCGCAGGCGTCATGTTTTGTAGCAGCACACTATAGGCCATGAGGGATTCGCTTTAGTACTGAGCCCTGGCGACGTCGGTGTTTTCCACCGGTTTAGGATAGGAGCCGTCGAAGTTATGGTATATCTGCGCCGTTTGTAGGAGGAGCTCAAGCTCGAAACTCCATGTGTAAAAGTCCTTGCCCTCGAACGCGGCCGTAGTCTTGATTTTTGAGACGCTAAGGAAGCGTGTTTGCGCAGAGTTGATAGCTTCATCACTTGGACGGGGGGCAGTTGTTGTTGATTTGTCTGTGTCGAGGGAGAAGGTGTGCGCGGCGGTATCACGGCTTTTCTCACCCGGTTGTCCAGGTTGTCCTGGTTGGGAAGAGGTTCCCGCATCTCCTTTGCGCATGTCTTGGAGTTCTTTCTCCATGGTTGAGAGTCGAGCGAAAAGTTGCTCGAGAGCGGCAGTGCCGATCGTAGTTGTCGCCTCATTTGTCGCAGACGGGTTGGATTGTCCTTCAGCCGTTAGATTTGCTTGGCCTACGGATCCTCCGGCCATCTTGATCTTAGAGCGTGTGCCGCTCGCCAGATCTTGGTTCGGCAAATTTCACGGAAGTGAGGTTGCGAAGAATCCCTGAGTAGCTCTCATACCATGTTACAATCCCAAGTGGGACTTAATGAAGGATCGCTCAGGGTTGATTGCAGAATAGTGTTGCAGCGGAAGATTTGAATCTCAGGTCAGAGTGAATGTAAATGACTGAGTTGATAAAAGCATGCATACATCGAGTTTATATAAGAGTACAGGGGAATACGAAAAGACCTAGACTAGCTATGTACTCTAAGGGGTACATGCCCTTATTAAAGCAAATTCAAACCGTGCGGCACGGGAACCCGTTTTGAACCTGTTCCCGTTCTTTTCATTTCAAGTGTTTCTGTCTGCATCGGTCTTGGTCAGACGGTTGCTGCGTCGCTTCGACTCTTCTGACTCCTCGACTTCGTACTCGGTAGAGTCGGCTCCTGCAGCATACAGGAATGCCTTACTCATAAAACTTCATATTGTAACACTAGCCTACTAAGGACATCTCAAAATGCCTAGCACAGATCAGTGAAAAGATCTCGGTGGCACCGCGTTGCATGGCACAGATCAGCGAAAAGATCTCGGGGGCACCGCATTGCATGGAACTTTGGTGTGAGTTACACGTGATCAATACTTCCTTCTTTGCTGGAGAATTCAGGAATCCATTCAGTTTGAGCCTTGTTGGGCTGAGAATTTCAGCCTTAGGATCTTTGCAGAGAATAGGCTGGTAGGTGCTAGAGTAGCACAGCGGAAGACTTGAGTGAATGTACTTGTGCTGGTATGTGAGAACAAGTAATTGATTCAAGCAAAGAGCATACAGGAATATATAGAAAAGATAGATTACAGGAAGCGGTTATGTTTATCGAGACGCGTAACGCTTCGACTATCGTGGCGGTTACTGACAGAACATTATAGCTTATGCTTTTGTGTAGGCTATAGTGGGGTATCCCATAGGGGGTACAACCCAATTAGGGTTAGTACTTGTACCCACTTCATTCATAGTTCATTCATTTCGCGTTCACTCTTTCACATGGAATTAGAGCAGGTCCCCTCCTAGGGACTGTTCCCAGGGCCCACCGAAGCGCGCCCCGAGGCGCGCGTTCCTTTTTTTTAGCGACCCTCCGTGTCGCCCCTAGCGGCCCGGTACGCCGCCCTTACCTACGCGGCCCCGCCGCCCTTACGTCGCGGCCCCGCCGCCCTCACGCCGCGGCCCCGCCGCCCTCACGTCGCGGCCCCGCCGCCCTCACGTCGCGGCCCAGCCGCCCTCACGTCGCGGCCCCGCCGCCCTCACGTCGCGGCCCCGCCGCCCTGACGTCGCGGCCCCGCCGCCCTCACGTTGCGGCCCCGCCGCCCTCACGTCGCGGCCCAGCCGCCCTCAAGTCGCGGCCCCGCCGCCCTCATGTCGCGGCCCCGCCGCCCTCACGTCGCGGCCCCGCCGCCCTCACGTTGCGGCCCCGCCGCCCTTACGTCGCGGCCCCGCCGCCCTCACGTCGCGGCCCCGCCGCCTCACCTTCGCGGCCTCGCCGCCCTCACCTTCGCGGCCCCGCCGCCCTCACCTTCGCGGCCTCCCCGCCCTCTCCTTCGCGGCCCCGCCACCCTCACCTTCGCGGCCCCGCCGCCCTTACCTACGCGGCCCCGCCGCCCTTACCTACGCGGCCCCGCCGCCCTTACGTCGCGGCCCCGCCGCCCTCACGTAGTGGCCCCGCCGCCTCACCTCCGCGGCCCCGCCGCCCTCACGTAGCGGCCCCGCCGCCTCACCTCCGCGGCCCCGCCGCCCTCACCTACGCGGCCCCGCCGCCCTCACCTTCGCGGCCTCGCCGCCCGTGCCTACGCGGCCCCGCCGCCTTCTCCTACGCGGCCCCGCCGCCCACACCTTCTCGGCCCCGCCGGTCTCCCCTCCTGCCGAGCCACCCGAGCAGCCGCCCGCCACGCCGCCCGGTACCGGAGCACCCGAACCGCCCAGCAGCAGCCGCCGGGCCGCATGGCCGCCGAGCCGCAGTTCAGCCGAGCTGCCCAGCAGCAGCCGCCGAGCCGCCCGGCCGCTGAGCCGCAGTACAGCCGAGCCGCCCAGCAGCCGCCGCCGAGCCGCCGGACCGCCGAGCCGCAGTACCGCCGAGCCGCCCCGCTGCCGAGCCGCCCGACCTGCCCTGTCTGGTGAGCACAGCCCCACTGCTACTGCGTGCCCTTCCCCACTGCTTGCACTGCTAGTCTGTTGTCATGGCTACCCCTAGTGTCCTCGCTTTTGACGCTGAGGGTCGAGCCATTGACTTTGAGGTCTGGGTCGACGCCCTGCAGCTGTTTTTACAGTGCGATAGGGCGGACGGTCTTTCTCTCTTTGACCTCACCTCTGGCGCCTCCCCTGCTCCTACTGCTGATGTTGACCCCACTGTTTGCTCTCAGTGGGCCACCCGCGATGCTGCTGCACGTCTTGCTGTGCGTCGCCACCTGCCTACCACTGAGCGCGCGCACTTTAGTCAGTACAAGAGTGCTCAGACCTTGTACGACGCTGTAGTTGCGCGCTACTCTTCCCCTGCCACTGCTGCACTGAGCCGCCTCATGCTACCGTACCTCTTTCCTGACCTTGCTGCCTTTCCTACAGACGCTGACCTCATCACGCACCTCCGCACTTCTGACACTCGCTACCGCGCCGCACTTCCTGCTGAGTTCTGCGCCAAGAACCCCCCCCCCCATGTACATCGCTCTATATAACATAGTCACTCGCCTCCCTGACTCCCTTCGCGTAGTCAGGGACCACTTCCTCTCAGTCTGTCCCACCACCCTCACTGTCGACCTCCTCGAGAAGGCCCTCCTAGCGGCGGAGAAGAGCATAGTCGCTGTAGGAGCCTCTCGTGGTGACCCGCGCACCCCCATCTTTGAGGGGTGTTCTCCTTCCGCCCTGCTGCCCTCTGTTGCCTCTGCTGCTACTGCCGACCTGCTTGGTTTTGAGTCGGTCGGCGCGGCGTCTGCTCCTAGCGGGAGACGCCGCCCTGGCAAGGGTAAGGGGGGCAAGGGCGCGGGTGGAGCTAGCGGGGGCGGTGGAGGTGGCAGTGGCAGTGGCGGTGGGAGTGGTGGTGGGGGTGGTGGTGGTGGCGGCAACGGAGGCGGCGGCGGTGGCGGCGGAGGCGGTGGGAGCGGAGGCGGCGGTGGTGGCGGAGGTGGAGACGGCGGTGGCGGAGGAGGTGGAGCCGGTCGGGGTAGTGCCCCGCAGCGGAGCGGCTTTGGTGGTGGTCAGCGCCAGCAGCAGCAGCAGCAGCAGCGTTCTCGGGACATCCCCCCGCCTCAGCAGCTCCGTGAGTGGTACACGCAGCGTCAGCGTGGTGGGGGTCTTGGCCCGTGCACCTACGTTTTTTGTTCCGGCGACCGCGCGGGTGAGCAGTGTGGGGGTGCCCACTCCACCCAGCGCTGCTTTGGCCGCCTGACGGACGCTTGGCGTCAGCAGTTCCCCGAGGCTAGTGAGATTCCCCGCTGGGGAGAGCTGTCTAGGGCTAGCGTAGCGATCTTTGATCTTGACTTTGATGCTATCCTTGCTGCCATGTATGCTCTGACTATTAGTGATGAGGGTGACTGTTACCGGTGTTTCCCGCCTGACCCGGGCATTGGTACTGCTGCGCTAGGTGCTTGTGAACTACTGCTCTAGGTGCCAGTGAGGCAGCGCTCTCAGATACTGCGTCGGCTTCGGCCTCCCTCACCTTCACACTTGACTCAGGGGCTTCTCGCTCCTTCTTTTGATACCGCACCACACTCACGCCGCTTGATCGGCCGGTTGCAGTCTCCCTTGCTGACCCCTCTGGGGGTCCTGTCCTTGCTCACTTCTCCACTATCCTCCCGTGTCCGGCTGCCCCCTCGGGCACCCTGTCAGGTCTGTACCTCCCCTTGTTCTTGACGAACTTGGTGAGTGGTGCTGACCTGCAGGATGCGGGGGTTCACCAGTTTACTCCTGCGAGTCAGCGGGGGACCCACTGCTCGGACGCCCGCACAGGCCGACACCTAGCCACGTTTTCGCGTCGGCCCGGGTCGAGTCTCTACACCCTCACCACTGAGTCTCCTCCAGTCCCTGCGTCTGGCCAGGTAGCTGCGTCGGGTCAGGTGTTTGCTGCTGCGTCCAGGTCTGGTCCTGAGTCTGCCCCCTGCTAGTGTCGCCTCCTGTCTCACGAGACTCTCTTGTGGCACCACCGTCTTGGCCACCCCTCCTTGCCTCGTCTTCGAGGCATGGCTTCCGGTGTCCTTGTCTCTGGTCTCCCTCGGTCTCTCCCTCCCCTTCCTTCGAGGCCAGGACCTTCCTGTGTCCCCTGTGTCGAGGGGCGGCTCCGGGCTGCCCCTCACTCCTCCCAGTTTCCCCCGACAGAGGCTCCTCTGCAGACGCTTCACATGGACGTGTGGGGCCCGGCCCGCGTCCATGGACAAGGTCACGAGCACTACTTCCTACTGGTGGTTGACGACTACTCGCGTTACACCACGGTCTTCCCCTTGCGCAGCAAGGGTGATGTCACTGAGGTGTTGATCGACTGGATCCGCGCAGCTCGTCTCCAGCTCAGGAGGAGCTTCGGCTCGGACTTTCCTGTTCTGCGTCTGCACTCTGACCGAGACGGAGAGTTCTCCTCTGTTCTTCTGCGAGCCTACTGTCGTGCACGAGGCATCCGCCAGACCTTCACGCTTTCAGACTCTCCACAGCAAAATGGGATTGCTGAGCGCCGCATTGGCATGGTCATGGACGTCGCTCGTACGTCCATGATGCATGCGGCTGCCCCCCATTTTCTGTGGCCGTTTGCGGTTCAGTACGCGGCACATCAGCTCAACCTTCACCCCAGGGTCTCCCGGCCGGAGACCTCCCCAGCTCTGCTGTGGACGGGGAAGGTCGGCAATGCGTCGGCATTCCGTATCTGGGGATCTCGGGCGTTTGTCCGCGACTTGTCTGCGGACAAGCTGTCCCCTCGTGCTGCTCCCTGTGTCTTCCTAGGCTTCCCCCCTGACGCCCCAGGGTGGCAGTTCTACCACCCCTCCTCTCGTCGTGTTTTGTCCTCCCAGGACGTCACTTTCGACAAGTCCGTCCCCTTCTACCGCCTCTTCCCCTACCGCACTCCTTCCCTCCCCCCGCCACCGCACTTCCTTGTGCCAGGTCCCCCCCCGGTAGACCCCCTTCCCCCTTAGGGTCCTGCCCCTTCCGGTGTGTCCCAGGTAGATGCAGTCGAGCCGGTCGAGGTTGCTGGTGACTCAGGTACTGCTGGGGGTGCTGAGCCTGGGGGTGCTGAGCCTGGGTGTGCTGACTCTGGGGGTGCTGAGCCTGGGGGTGCTGAGCCTGGGGGTGCTGAGCCTGAGGGTGCTACCTGTGGGGGTTCTAAGCCTGGGGGTGCTGAGCTTGGGGGTGCTGCCTCTGGGGGTGCTGCGCGCGGGGGTGCTGAGCCTGGAGGTGCTGCGTCTGGAGCTGCTGAGCTTGGAGGTGTGGAGCCTGCGGCCACTGGACCTCCCCTTGTGGTGTCTGGCGGTGCTGGGCCTGGAGGTTCTCTGGGTGTTTCGTCTCGGCGGGAGCCACTCTCTCCACAGGAGCTGCGTGAGTGGTTTGCTCGCCGCTGGAGGCGTACTGCTGGAGCTGGCGCTTCTTCGACCGCTGAGGGTGCTGTTGTCGCCGGTCCCAGAGCTGCTGGCTCTGCGGGTCCGCCTGGAGCTGGAGCTCCTGAGGGTGTTGGTTCTGAGACTACTACTGTCAGTCCTGGTGGTCGTCGTGCTACGGGTGCTGCTGGTGCTGCTGGAGGTCCTGCTGCAGGAGGTGCTGTTGGCGCTAGTGCTGCCGGAGGTGCTGAGGGTGCTGGTGCAGTCCCTGCTATGTCTGGTGCTGCCGCGCGGCCTCGGCCTCACTTTGTTCCGCTTCTCCAGCAGGTTCTTGGTCTTCCTCCTCTCTTAGAGTGTCCACCGCCTGTCCAGTCGCAGTCACAGTTACCGCCGGCCTCCCCACTGCCTTCTCCTTCACCTTACACTGGTCCTACTGGTGGTCTTGCTGAGCGTCGTGAGCTTGCGTCTCGTCCTGCGTCGCCTGTTCGTGTGGCTCGCACTAGTGAAAGATTCGCGTCACCGTCCTCCTCCTGTCCCTGGCACGCACCGGATGTCTCTGCGTCCGTCCACTGCTCCTCTGCGTGCCCCTTTGCCCTCTCCTCCTGAGTCCTCTCTTCCTGCGCTTGCCGACCTTGAGTCAGACTCTCTTCGTGCTGCCAGTCCTACTGTCACGCGTCTCCTTGCTACTGTCGTCACTGACCCCTCCTTTGAGTCCACTACTGCATCTGCTCTTGTTGCTGAGCTCGTCGACTTTGCTGCTCGCTGTCGTCTAGACTACGCTGCTAGTCTTGTTGCTGAGTCTGCGTCTCTCTGTCCTCCGTCCGTCGGGGGTGAGTGTGCTCTTGGCACAGACGTCCTTGAGGACAGGCAGGAGGAGTTTCAGTGTCTGGCTGCTGCTTCACCTCATCTCGCGTCTGTACTGCTTGCCCCTGAGGGAGACCCGGGTGCACTTGACATCCCGACTCCGCGCTCTTACGCGGAGGCCGTAGAGGGTCCCTACTCCTCTCAGTGGCAGGCAGCTATGGATGCAGAGATGGCTTCCTAGAAGTCCACAGGCACCTACGTTGACGCGGTTCCCCCTCGTGGGGCGAACATCGTCAGTGGGATGTGGATCTTCAGGGTGAAGCGGTCGCCGGGCTCTCCACCTGTCTTCAAGGCGCGGTACGTGGCTCGTGGCTTCAGTCAGCGGCAGGGAGTTGACTACTTTCAGACCTTCTCTCCCACCCCGAAGATGACCACTCTTCGGGTGCTGCTGCACATAGCCGCTCAGCGCGACTACGAGCTTCACTCTCTTCACTTCAGCACTGCTTTCTTGCAGGGTAGCCTGCACGAGGAGATCTGGCTGCGCCGTCCACCTGGCTTCACTGGGACTTTCCCTCCTGGCACCCAATGGAGCCTCCGACGGCCAGTCTACGGTCTCCACCAGGCACCGCGTGAGTGGCACAACACACTGAGGACTACGCTTGCGGCTCTTGAGTTTGCTCCCTCTACTGCTGACCCTTCGTTGTTTCTGCGCACCGACACTTCTCTGCCACCGCTCCACATCCTCGTGTACGTCGACGACTTGGTCTTTGCCACTGCTGACACTGCTGGACTCGCCTACGTGAAGTCGGAGCTGCAGAAGAGACACACGTGCACAGACCTCGGTGAACTGCGCAGCTACCTTGGCTTGCATATCACTCGGGACAGAGCACGCCGCACCATTACCTTGACTCAGTCACACATGGTGCAGCAGGTCCTTCAGCGCTTCGGCTTCACGTACTCCTTGCCTCAGGCCACTCCTCTGTCTACTCGCCACTCGTTCTCAGCTCTGCCTTCGGATGAGTCCGCAGAGTCGAGTGGCCCGTACCCAGAGCTTGTTGGCTGCCTCATGTACCTGATGACCTGCACACGACCTGACCTTGTATACCCTCTTAGCATCTTGGCACACTATGTTGCTCCTGGGAGACACCGACCAGAGCACATGGCTGCAGCGAAGAGGGTGTTGCGCTACTTGTGCAGTACGTCGGGCATGGGGCTAGTGCTGGGAGGGCGGAGTCCAGTGGTCCTCACCGGGCACGCGGACACTTCTTGGGCTGACGACGAGGCTACTCAGCGGTCGTCGCAAGGTTACACCTTCAGTCTTGGTTCCGGCTCTGTTTTGTGGCGGGCTACTCGCTCGTCTTCTGTTCTCGGCTCCAGTTGTGAGGCTGAGATCTACGCCGGGGCCATGGCTGCTTAGGAGCTTCGCTGGCTCACCTACATGCTGACTGACCTTGGAGAGCCGCCTCGTTCTCCTCCAGTGCTGTATGTAGACAACAAGGCCATGCTGGCCTTGTGTCGAGAGCAGCGCCTGGAGCACAGAACGAAGCACATTGCTCTCCGCTACTTTCTTGCTCGTGAGCTGCAGCAGCGTGGCTAGTTGCGCCTTGCGTACGTGGCCTCTGAGGCCAACACTGCTGTTATGTAACCTCCAGGCGGTTATGGCTCGCAACTTCCAGTTGCGGTTTGATGTGGTACGCGCCTTTTCGACTTCATACTCCTTTTGTTATGCTTCAGTATCGGGTGAGGTTCGATACTACATAAACGTACTAAGTCATGCGTTTTTATTCCCAACACTGCCCTGTCAGACATATATGACATAGTTGCTGTAGGCTATAGTGGGGTAGCACATATGGGGTACAGGGTTTCTAGGGTTGTATTTGTACCCGATCTTTCCTTAGTCATTTCATTCCTGTTTTCTTTATTTCACATGGTATAGAGCGGGTCCTACCTTAGGACCGTTTTTTTTAAAGCCCACCGAAGCGCGCCCCGAGGCGCGCCTTTTTTTTTTAGCGACCCCCTCGGGTCGCCTTTTCCCTCGCGGCCCCGCTGTCCCTCAGACGCGGCCCCGCCACCTCTCCTGATCGCGGCCCCGCCGCCTTTTTGACGCGGCCTCGCCGCCTACTCTGACGCGGCTCCGCCGCCTCCCTTGACGCGGCCCCGCCGCCTCCCCTGACGCGGCTCCCCCGCCTCTCCTGACGCGGCCCCGCCGCCTGTCTGACGCGGCCCTGCCGCCTCCCTGACGCGGCTTCCCCGCCTCCCCTGAAGCGGCTTCGCCGCCTCCCCTGACGCGGCCCTGCCGCCTCCCCTAACGCGGCCCTGCCGCCTCCCCTGACGCGGCCCTGCCGCCTCCCCTGACGCGGCTCCGCCGCCTCTCCTGCCGGCCCGCCACTGCACCTGCCGGCCCGCTGCTGCACCCACCGGCCTGCCGCCTCTGACGGCCTCGCCGTTGCACCTGCCGGCCTCGCTGCTGCACCTAACGGCCCGCCGCCTGCACCTGCCGGCCCGCCACTGCACCTGCCGGCCCGCCGCCTGCACCCGCCGGCCCGCCGCTGCACCTGCCGGCCCGCCACTGCAACTGCCGGCCCGCCACTGCACCTGCCGGCCCGCCACTGAACCGGTCAACCCGCAGCTGCACCTGACGGACCCGCCCCTGCATCTCCTGGCCGAGCCGCCTCAGCAGCCGAACCGCCCGTGACCCGAGCCGCCCTGCCGCCGAGCCGCCCGGGAGCCGAGCCGCCCGGGACCCGAGCCGCCCTGCCGCCGAGCCGCCCGGGAGCCGAGCCGCCCGGGACCCGAGCCGCCCTGCCGCCGAGCCGCCCGGGAGCAGAGCCGCCCGGGACCCGAGCCACCCTGCCGCCGAGCCGCCCGGGAGCCGAGCCGCCCTGCGCCCGAGCCGCCCAGCACTCGAGCCGCCTTTCTGCATACCTACGCGACCTGCCCTGCCTGGTGAGCACAGTCCCACTGACACGGCGAGCTCTTTCCCTGCTGCTTGCACTGCGTCGCAGTCGTCGCCATGGCCACCCCTAGTGTCTTAGCCTTTGACGCTGAGGGTCGCGCCATTGATTTTGAGGTCTGGCTAGACGACCTGCAGCTGTTCTTACAGTGCGACAGGGCTGACGACCTTTCTCTCTTTGACCTCACCTCTGGCGCCTCTCCTGCTCCTGCTGCTGATGCTGATCCCGCTGTCCGCTCTAAGTGGGCCACCCGCGATGCTGCTGCACGTCTTACTGTGCGTCGCCACCTCCCTACCTCTGAGCGTGCGCACTTTAGTCAGTACAAGAGTGCTCAGACCTTGTACGACGCTGTAGTTGCGCGCTACTCCTCCCCTGCCACTGCTGCACTGAGCCGTCTCATGCTTCCCTACCTCTTTCCTGACCTCTCTGCCTTTCCCACTGTCGCTGACCTCATTACGCACCTCCGCACTAGTGACACTCGCTACCCGCGCCGCCCTTCCTGCTGAGTTCTGCGCTAAGAACCCCCCCCCCATGTACATCGCTCTCTACTACGTAGTCGCGCGCCTCCCTGACTCCCTTCGAGTCGTCAGGGACCAATTTCTCGCAGTCTGTCCCACCACTCTCACCGTGGACCTCCTCGAGAAGGCCCTCCTCGCAGCGGAGAAGAGCATCGTCGCTGTAGGTGCTTCTCGTGGTGACCCTCGCACCCCCATCTTTGAGGGGTGCTCTCCTTCCCCCTTGTTGCCCTCTGTTGCCTCTGCTGCGGCTGCCGACCTGCTTGGTCTTGAGTCGGTCGGCGCGGCGTCTGCCCCTAGTGGGAGACGTCGCTCCAGCAAGGGCAAGGGGGGCAAGGGCGCGGGTGGAGCTGGAGGGGGCGGTGGCGGTGGCGGCGGTGGCGGCGGAGGGAGTGGGGGTGGCGGCGGGGCTGGTGGCGGGGGTGGTGGTGGTGGTGGCAGCAGCGGCGGAGACGGTGGTGGTGGTGCCAGGGGTAGTGGTGGAGGCAGCGGCGGAGGTGGAGGCGGCGGAGGTGGAGGCGGTGGAGGCGGAAGCGGAGGAGGCAGTGGTGGTGGAGGGGGTGGATCTGGTCGGGGTGGTACCCAGCAGCGTAGCGGCGGTGGTGGTGGCCAGCGCTCACAGCGGCAGCAGCAGCAGCGCTCTCGGGACATCCCTTCGCCTCAGCAGCTTCGTGAGTGGTACGCTGGGCGTCAGAGGGGTGGGGGTACTGGTCCCTGCACCTACGTTCTTCGTTCCGGCGACCGCGTGGGTGAGCAGTGTGGCGGTGCCCACGCCACCCAGCGCTGCTTTGGCCGCCTGACGGGCCTGGCGTCAGCAGTTCCCTGGGGCTAGTGAGATCCCTCGCTGGGATGAGCTTCTCAGGGCTGGTGTAGCGATCTTTGATCTTGATTTTGATGCTATCCTTGCTGCTATGTATGTTGTGGATTATAGTGAGGAGAATGAGGGTTACCGCTGTTTCCAGCCCGGCCCGGGCATTGGTACTGCTGCGCTAGGTGCTTGTGAGGCTGCTGCTCTAGGTGCCAGTGCGTCTGCGCTCTCAGGTACTGGTGAGACTGCGCTCTCAGGTACTGAGTCGTCCTCGTCCTCCCTCACTTTCACACTTGACTCCGGAGCTTCTCGCTCCTTCTTTAGAGACCGCACTACCCTTACGCCACTCGGCCGGCCTGTTGCAGTCTCCCTTGCTGACCCCTCTGGGGGTCCTGTCCTGTCTCACTTCTCCACTGTCCTCCCGTGTCCGGCTGCCCCTTCGGGCACCCTGTCGGGTCTGTACCTTCCCTCGTTCTCTACGAACTTGGTGAGTGGAGCGGACCTGCAGGATGGGGGTGTTCACCAGTTCACTCCTGCACGTCAGCGGGTGACCCACTGCACGGAGGCACTCACAGGCCGACACCAGGCCACGTTCTCGCGTCGGCCGGGGTCGAGTCTCTACACCCTGACTGTTGGGTCTCCTCCTGTCCCTGCGTCTGGTCAGGTGGCTGCGTCGGGTCAGGTACTTGCTGCTGCGTCCCGGTCAGGTCCTGAGTCTGCCCCCTGTTCTTGTCGCCTCCTGTCTCACGAGACTCTCCTGAGGCACCACCGTCTTGGTCA